AGCACTCTGTCACATTGCCTTTTCATCCTTTCAACACTGAGGGGTGGGTATTATAATTGGTCTATTTTACAGATGAGTAAACTAAGGCTTAGGAGGATTAGTAGTTACCCAAGACCTCACAGTGAGTGAGAGAGTTGGGACTGAAACACAGATGGTCTGTCAGAGTTTGAGTTTGGAGATAATACTTTTTTTAAAAAAAAATACAATATATGGGGTCTTGCTACGTCACCCAGGCTGGAGTGCAGTGGCTATTCACAGGCACAGTCATGGCACACGACAGCCTCGAACTCCTGGGCTCAAGTGATCCTCCTGCCTCAGCCTCCTGAGTTAAGGGGACTATAGGTATGCACCCCCACACCTGGCTTGGAGACAGTGCTTTTAAACCATTGCATCAGCTGTGTCCCCAAGTGCCAGCTCAGGCTGCTGATGACTCTCAATAGTTGCTCTTCCATGTGCAAGCGCATGTATGCTCTCATGGGAAGAAAATATGTGTTCACACGACCCATCCAAGAAGGCCTAATAATATTTCAAACAGGCCTGCTGAAACCAGCCTCAGGACGTCTGGTCATCTGCTTCATGGCCTCATGGTGTCTAAGACGGCTGTGTAGAAGGAGGACACGCGAGCCATCCTCTGTGACTCCCAGTAAAATGCTCTTTGTACTACCCGGAGTTGTTCCCTCATTTTCTTCCCTTCCTGTTCCAGTTGATTCCCCCATGTACTGAGCCACCTGTATTCTACAAGGCAAATGGTCAGTCATCTAAGTTGTTTGAGAATAGGTTTATTCGCTTTAGGATGACCACGGCTGGAAAACTCTGTATATCAGAATGACCGAAGTCCTTTCTGTGTGTGTGTAAGGTCGGCCATCTATCTGCCTACCTTGAAAAGACGAGAAATATCCTTCTTGAAAGCAACTGAATGCACGTGAGAAAAGCTCTTCCAGTTCTGAACCTTCAGGAGTTTCTGGCAAGCTTTTTATTACGTGCTAGGGTGGGGATTTGACTCTGTGTATATAGATTCTCAATTAGTTAGGTTTTCAGACTGACACCTCAATCCTCCTGAATTTAAAAACAAAACAAGACATAGGACAACGACATTCTGTTCCAACTTGCCAGAACCCCAGCCCTGAGCTTCCTGTTTTCAACCTTGTCCTGTTTTTTAGGGCTTTGAACTCTGACTCCCTGGTTTTGACCCTGGTGCTGGCTAAGGACTCTGAAACTTCTTGCCTCATCTGATGCTGTTTTGACTTCTGTCAGCCTGGGCCCTGCCGCCCCCACTCCCACCCCCATGTCTGCTTTGGCCTCTGCAGGCAAAGGTCTGGGCCTGACTACATTGTATGTTAGTGATTCTGTCATCCCCAGGCTGGGAGCTCCTGGAGGAAGGAGTTTGATCATATTTAGCTGTAACCCCTGATAGCAAGGAGGGTGGAGAGAAATTCCTGGATCAAGAAGCAGGGACTCACAGTCCAGGGAGGGTCCAAAGCAAGCAGCACTGGCCCCTGCGGAGGAGCAAGAGCAGCAAGCACATGGGGCTCCTCTGAGTCACTGCCCGGGTGATTGATGAGTTGTTGTCCAAGTTCAGGTGCTTTTGGCGCAAGTAACAGAAACCAAGATCTGCAAACTCTGACTTGCAAGGAAAGGGAGATACCCACACGTCTACCAGCAGATAGCTGGATAAACAAAATGTGGCAGATACCTACAATGGAATGTTAGCCTAATGACTAACAGGAATGACGTTCTGAAGCATGCCGCAACTTGGATGAACCTTGATGACACTACGCTGGTGAAATAAGTCCGTCACAAAAGGACAAATGCTACGTGATTCCACTCACATGTAATACCTAGAGCTGTCAAATTCATAGCGTCAGAAAGAATAGTGGTTACCAGAGGCTGGTGGGGGAGAGAATGGTGAGTTAGCATTTAATGGGTACAGAGTCTTAGGCTGGGACCATGAAAAAAGTCTGGAGATGAATAGTGGTGATGTTCACCTAACAAAGTGAATGTACTGGATTGTACACTTAAAAATGTTTAAAATGGTAAATTTTATGTGTGTGTGTGTGTGTGTGTGTGTGTATTTTTTTTTTTTAGGCAGACTTGCTCTGTCATCCAGCCTGGAGTGCAGTGGTGATATTATGGCCCACTGCAGTGCAGCCTCAACCTCCTGGGCTCAAGCAATCCTCCCACCTCAGGCTCCTGAATACCTGTGACCACAGGCACACACCACCATGCCCGGCTAATTAATTTTTTGTAGAGATAAAGCATACATAAGCTCTCACCATACTGCCCAGGCTGATCTCAAACTCCTGGACTCAAATGATCCTCCTGCTTCAGCCTCCCAAAGTGCTGGGTTTACAGGCATGAGCCACTGTGCGTGACCCTGTTATGTGTGTATACGTACATGCGCGTGCACACACATACACACACACACGTTTTTTGAGACAGGGTCTCACTCTGTCACCCAGGCTGGAGTGCAGTGGCACGATCTCAGCTGACTCCCCAGCTCAAGCGATCCTCCTGCCTCAGCCTCCTGAGCAGCTGGGACCGTAGGCTCAGGCCACCATGCCCAGCTAATTTTTTTTTTTTTTTCGGTATTTTTGGTAGAAACGGGGTTTCGCTGTGTTGCCCAAGCTGGTCTGGAACTCCTGGCCTCAAGTGATCCGCCCACCTCAGACTCTGGAAGTGTTGGGATTACAGGCGTTAGCCACCTTGCCCAGCCCCTGTTATGTCTATTTTAACACACATACACCCCCCAACCCCCGCCAAGAACTGACCTAAACCAATAAGTTATTCCTGAGGTGCTAAATTGCCAACATGGCCCTTTAGGATTTTTTTTTTTTTTTTTTTTTTAATTGAGATGGAGTCTCACTCTGTTGCCTAGGCTGGAGTGTAGTGGCGTGATCTCAGCTTACTGCAACCTCTGCCTCCTGGGTTCAAGCGATTCTCGTGCCTCAGCCATCTGAGTGGTTGGGATTACAGGTGTGCACCACCATGCTAAGTTTCGTATTTTTAGTAGAGACGGGCCATGTTGTCCTGGCTGGTCTCAGACTCCTGGCCTCAAGTGATCCGCCTGCCTTGGCCTCCCAAAGGGCTGGGATTGCAAGCATGGGCCACTGCGCCTGGCCTAGACATTTTTTTTAAAGGAAGGATACTGGGACATCTCATGGAACTGAAAGACCAGCTGAAGCCCCCAGCCTGGAGCTGGGGCAGAAAGTGAGGCAGTTCCAGGGACCTCGGAACAGAAGTTCGTAGACCTCTTTCCTTGGGACGCTGCCAGAAACTCACTTCTGCTCTAGCAGCAACCAGACTGAGTTTCTCAGGTCCAAATTTCAAATCTCTCCAAGAGTCTGATTGGCCAGCTAGATGAGATGGCCAACCTGGGTAGATGAGCTTGGGCTGAAGAGGCGGCTGTTTTTTTTTTTTTTTTTTTTTTTTCCGAGATGGCGTCTCCCTCTGTCACCCAGGCTGGAGTGCAGTGGCTCCATCTCGGCTGACTGCAAGCTCCGCCTCCCGGGTTCATCCCGGGTTCATGCCATTCTCTTGCCTCAGCCTCCGGAGTAGCTGGGACTACAGGCGCCCGCCACCAGGCCCGACTAATTTTTTTGTACTTTTAGTACAGACTGGGTTTCAACGTGTTAGCCAGGATGGTCTCGATCTCCTGACCTCGTGATCCGCCCGCCTCAGCCTCCCAAAGTGTTGGGATTACAGGCGTGAGCCACTGCGCCCGGCCAAGGGAGGCCGCTCGGGTTTTAACAACATGGCCACTTGGGGGCAGCCATGAGTCAGTTTACCGGAATCCAATTCGTTGGCCCGTTTTCAGCTTGATACTTCACTGTATTTATTTGTTTTGCTTAACCATCCGGTCTTAATTACCTGGCTTTTGTTTTGTCTTCACAACAGCATTTTGGGAGAATGTTGAATGCAAAGGAGCTGAGTCAGCTGTCTGCTGTTGAGCTGGAGACAGAGGGGGAGATTGATTATAAATGGCCCCCAACCTTGACAAAAGTCTCAAGAAATGTGGAGAAGCCCCTGAAAAAAACTGAGATTAAGCTTCTTTCACCCTAGCAGAAAAAAAGCAGGAAGTTAGGAATCAAGCTGCCAAATAAGGAAGTTGTATTTATTGCATGCTTGGGTTTTGGATTAAGAGTTTACCCCTAGCCGTGTCTCATACCCTTTCTTTCCCTGTCCTGCAAAGCTTAACATGGGAGGCAGAGATTTGTGTCTCTTCTTCTTCTTCTCGCTCACTCTTTTTTTTTTTTTTCCTTTCCCAGTCAGGCACTCTCTGTACCCATGCCACCCTGAGGAAGACAAAATATGAGAGGGTCTAGCAAAGCCTCTGCAAAAATGATTAATGTGAATATTCCCATCCTGACTTCCTATGAAAAGTTGTATTATAAAATAAAAGAATAATTGAAGAAAATACAGATCCATAAAAATCCATAAAGATGGGCAGGAAAAATTAAGAGTTCTATGGGGCTCTTAATAGGTCAAGACCCAGAGGGCAGAGATCATCTGGCAGGCTGGAAACTGGCTAGGTATCTAGAATGGCTTGTGTACTGGGGTGAAGTGAGAAATTGAAGCAGAGCAGGAGAAGGATGTGAAAGATATTTTTCTATGTATTAAGAGTGCACCGGCCGGATGTGGTGGCTCATGCCTGTAATCCCAACATTTTTGGGAGGCTGAGGCAGGTGGATTGCTTGGGCACAGGAGTTTGAGACCAGCCTGGGCAACATGGTAGAATCCCGTCTCTACCAAAAATACAAAAATTAGCCAGGTGTGATGGTGCCAGCCTGTAGTCCCAGTTACTCGGGAGGCTGGGGTGGAAGGATCACTTGAGCTTGGGAGGTGGAGGTTAAAGTGAGCCAAGATCACACCACTGCACTGCAGCCTAGGTGACAGAGTAAGACCCTATCTCAAAAAAATAAAAATAAAAATGTAAAAATAAAAGAGTGTATCTCTGCCCACATCCCTTAACTTTGGTATTTCCTCCTGAGATTGAGAAAATATTCGAAATACTCCTTTATTTTGATCATTGTTCTGTTTCTCTCAATGTGACTGGCTAGTTTCAGCCTAATAAGGCTTCTCCTGTTTTCGTAGGTTTACCCCTCTCTTCCGTAAACAAGGGCTTCCACTAAAGCCTGGTCATCACTGGGAGTTGAGGAGCTGGGCTTAGTCATTCTTTGCTGTAATAATTTTAACCGTGGCCAAGTTCCTGGAGGGCAGCAAAGGTAGGTTGGGATTCTTGATGTACTCTTGGACCCAGTCGTCACTGGGGTTGGTGCAGACTTCTCGGTTCCTTTTGGTGATGAAGCTGCAGAGGCAGAATTAGACCGTCATGGGCTGCAGACTCAGGCAGGGGTCCAGTGCACACCCCCACCTCTGGTTCACATGGAGCTCATCTTATGTTCTTTAAAGCTTCCCTGGGCCTCTCCTGGCTGGGTTCCCTCAGGCAGCCTCTCTCTCTGGCCTCAGAACCTTACCATCCCTTCTCTCAGTCCCTTCTCTGCTCAGCCTAGACCCTCAAGTTTGGGTTTCATAATGGACCACATAGATAAAAGTGGCAAAATTAGGAATTAATCCCAGGCCCGTGAGAGCCAAAGGCCAAACTCGTAGCCACTACTCCACTGTTTCTAGCATAGAGACCTCTTGGTCCCGTGTATCTCATTCCTGCCCCTGGGCTCCCTGTCCCCCTCCACAGAAATATCTACAAGGATGTGCTTACATGATTGCTGGCAGGTTACAGTTGAGGGCCTTTCTGTATCCCACCACCAGTCTCCTTGGCAACACTTTCTCATAAAACTTCAGGCAGCAGGTGGATGGGGTGTTCACCCACTCAGGAACTTCTGAAGGAATCACATTGCAAGCTGAGCCAGGGAAGCAGAGGGGAGACCACCACTGCCCACCTCTGTCTCCTACCATTTGTGTTTCACTGCTCTGATAGCAAAGCCGTCTGTTAGAGGAGACCAATGCTAGCTTGACAGGTAATGGAGAAAGGGCAAACGATGAATCCCTCTGGGGGATGTACATTTAGAACCCTCAGCCTCTGAGCTGAGTGTCAACTACAAATGACTTGGTTATTCACACTTGCCAAGGAACCGGGAGGAAGCTGGCTCACTCTTTTGTTTATTGGTGACTTGATCTGGCAAACATGGGTTGAGCTAGTGTGCCGGGCTCTGTGGGGGTAAAAACATGAGGAGGATACAGTCACTACCCTTAAGTAACTTACAGAGTAGTCAGGGTTGAAAGGGAAATTGAAAAGTTAAACAAACACTACCATAGAATGTGGTCCAGGATAGAACAGACTTTGGTATAAGGTGCTATGGGAACACAATGAGGGGCCCCTAACCCATCCTCGGTGGTTGAGGACGAAGTCTCAAAGCAAGTGAGGCCTGCATTGATTCGTAAAGGATGAACAGGATTTAGACACACAGCTGGGTGTTGTGGCTCAGGCCTGTAATCCCAGCACTTTGGGAGGCCGAGGCGAGCGAATCATCTGAGGTCAGAAGTTTGAGACCAGCTTGGCCAACATAGTGAAACCCTGTCTCTACTAACAAAAATTAGCCGGGCATGGTGGCGCATGCCTGTAATCCCAGCTACTCGGGAGGCTGAGGCAGGAGAATCACTTAAACCCGGGAGTCAGAGGTTGCAGTGAGCCAAGATCGCGCCACTGCACTTCAGCCTGGACGAAGGAGTGACTCTATCTCAGAAGGAAAAAAAAAAAGGATTTAGACACACAAAGGACTTGTAGAATCTGGATGAAAGAAATGCAGGAAAGCTTGAAGGTAGGGGAAGCTCAGTGTGTCTTGGGAGTGCTGGGCAGTTTGGGTGGCTGGCATGTAAGGTAGGAAGGAATGAATGGGCAGAGATGAAACTGGAGAGAGAGGAGGGTCTGTTCACACACCTGCTGAACTGCTGAGTAATTTGGACTCTATCTTAGGGCACTGGAGAGGCGGAGGTTACGGGGAAGGGTGAGAGAGTAGAGCCGTTAGAGACAGAAGTTAGAGCAGGAGGAAAAAGTACATGATTTAGGCTTTGGTGTCAGACAGCTTGGGCTGGAATTTTGACTTGACTGGAATTTTGACTTGAATCATGGGCATATTTCCTAATCTCCCTAGGTTTCAGTTTCCTCATTCATTAAGTGGGGGTAAATGATACTTACTTGTACCCTAGGATCGTGGTTAGAATTCGGTGAGAAAATGATTGGAAAGCCCTTAACTCAGAGTCTGGCACACAGAAAGGCTCAATCAGTGCTTATTATAGTTAAGAGCCAACGGTAGTAATGACTGCTCTTCTTGCCTTGGAAATGGCTCTTTCCTCCCGTCTCTTTGATGCATGCAGGCTACTGGACTTGATTGGTTATTGTTGCTGTGTTTTCTTTGAGCTGTCCTGACTACACATCAATTGGGGATACTACACAAGAGGTCAGTCCAGAGATCTCTCCCAGCCCCCAAACCTTCAGAGTGCAAATCTTTTTGTAGCTTGACCCCTTTGCCTCTAGAGAGTGGCAAAGCTTGGGACATCTTGAGAGCACCATCTTGCTGATCCATGCTTTGGGTGGGCCATTCTGTCTTTCTTGAAGCCTGAACCCACTGCACTGGCCTGATTGACTCTCCCAAAGAGCATTGTCTCCCCCTCCCACACAGTCCCTCCGTAAGTGATGCTCATATCACTGGTTCTCAAAGCAAAGTTTACAAAGACCAGGGTCATCCTGAGAGTATGTGGGCAGATTACATGGTGCACCTGACCCTTGCTCCTTTGTGTTTATACAGGCAGAGTCAGGCCAGACTACATGCCAGGGTGACCTTAAGAGAGAAAAGAGACCAGGCGTGGTGGCTCACGCCTGTAATCCTAGCACTTTGGGAGGCCGAGGCGGGGGGATCATGAGGTCAGGAGTTTAAGACCAGCCTGACCAACATGGTGAAACCCCGTCTCTACTAAAAATACAGAAGTTAGCTGGGTGTAGTGGCGTGTGCCTGTAATCCCAGCTACTCAGGAGGCCGAGGCAGGAGAATCACTTGAACCCGGGAGGCGGAGATTGTGGTGAACCAAGATCACGCCACTGCACTCCAGCCTGGGCAACAAGAGCGAAACTCCATCACAAACAAAACAAAACAAAACAAAACAAAACAAAACAAAACAAAATAAAACAAGCAAAAAACAAAAACAAAACAAAGCAAAATAAAAAAACAAGAGAGAAAAGAATGGCTGGGGCAGCCTAGGGCAGGTGGTACACAGCTTTGTCCCCCCCACCCCCGTCACCAGGTCCTCATAAGCGATGACAGAGGGAGGAGATACGGAAGGACAAAACAAATCCCATCCTCCATAGGCCGCAATTCTCCTTCTCCCCACAGCTGAAAAACCTTTCAACCCCTTTCCTCTTTTCTGCAGATGTTATTTAGTCATAGACTGGGGGATGGAGAAGGGGACCATAGATTCCCAAACAGCCATTCCTCTGGGACTCATTTTGGTTGTCTGATAGTCCCAGCAACCTGTGCCAGCCACTTTGAGGAAGTGGTGTCTCGGTTCAGACTCCCAATTCCTGGGCTTAGACCCACATGATTGTTTGAACCTTCCTTCCTCTCGTAACTCGTTCTTCCAGGGCACCTACCGCTTTTCTTTCTCATCTGTGTGCTTCCCCCTCCCTTTCATTGCATGCAATTCTTGTTGCATTTTCTGCAGCTTTCTTGGCCTCTCCTCCTGAGTGATCATTCCTGCTCACCACACTTGGGACTCCTGAGGAAATGGTGACCCAGTTTCCTGGAACTACTTACCCCAGAAAGATCTGGACCAACCCCAGTTCTACTTACAAAGGCGAGAATTGGAGGTCAGGAGCTAGGCATGAAGGTGGGAAGAGCCCACAGGGGCTTATGAGGCCAGAGACCCAACAGCGCCCTTGGCACCACCTCCCTGCCAGCTGCTCCATCCCCTTTTCTCGTTGCTGCCCTACAGAGACAAGTGGACTCACTTGGCTGGCTGCAAGAAGCAGAAGTAATGATAAGGATGAGGAGGAGGAGAGACAGGGCAGCCTCGGAGACCTTCATCCTTTCAGCGGGGCTGTACAGCTTCAGGGAGAGCTGAGTGAAGATGTCGTCTGCTGCTGGTGGTCCGCGTGCCAACTACTCAGCTCTCTGGACCTTGACCACATCAGAGCGGGTAGAGGAGGAGAAACAACAGGCCTCAGTGTTTGCTGAAACAGAGGGCAGCGGAGGATGGGACTTGGTGCAGAGCTGAATTCAGTAGAATTTGAATTCACATGAAGGAATGTGTGTCAGCTACCTTACATGCCCTATCTGATATAATCCTTAAAATAGTGAAGTAGCAACGATGACTTCCCTGAGACTACTGAGGCTTAGAGGCTAAATAAATTGTCCAAGTCCATCTGGGTGGACAGGCAGGATGAAAAACCAGATCTATTTGATTTCACCATGTTACCTGCCGCCATCTGTATGTTGGGGAAGGGGCAGGCAAAGTTGAACCACCCCAGCTTCCCCCAGGTGATCAGTCTTGGGGAGAATGAGCACAAAGCAGGATTACAGAGCCCAGACTGAGGCAAGGGTAGGGCTTAGTTGCCTCTGAGAAGGATATGCCCCCTCCCAGTCCAAGGCCACATGATTGACCTCACACTTTTTCATGTCACAGCTTATGCTAATACCCCAAAAACACCCCAATGTGCCTGATCCTTGGGTCCCCATTTGTTGCTGGACCATTGGACTTATTTGTCAATGTTTTCATTTCTCTCTTTGGACCTTGGACTTTGGACTGATTTTTAGGTGTAGCCAGCCCGCTGATCCCTCCTGGGTGCCCCCGTGGCCAACCATGACCAGCAGGGGATGCTCCAACTCTGTGCACGTGACAACCTGCGTCTGTGCTCTAGGGCTCCAGCTTCAGCCCCTCTGGCCTGGGCTCTGGCTGGACCTGCCCCACAGCCTCCTCTCTCTTCAGGTGCCTCCGGACCCTTTTCCACCCTGAAGGCTGTTAGTAAAACAATATAGTATAATCTGGTGTATGTAAGCGAAGGGGAGAGATTAGGTAAAATGTCTTCATGAATCACTCCTATTCCAGACAGCAATGAAGAAAGACCTTGGAAACAGCGTGGAAAAAAGGACTATGGAGTTTGACTGCTATAGAGAACCCTTTATGAAGTGTTACCTATAAAATCAAATGATGATTCTTAGCTTTTACACTTGTCATGAAGCTTAAATAAGATAATGCATACAGACTGCCTAGCAGAGTGCTTGCAGTAGAGAAAGCATTAAGAAAACGGGGTCTGGTATTGTTGTTGTTGAGGAGGAGACAGTCTTTACGCTGCTTTTCTTTCTCACTTTCTGCTTCTCACTACCCGCATTGCAGGCTTGACCTATTTTTTTGTACCAGGCTCCAGTGAAACTTCTGCAGAGGGAGGCTTGATGCCGAGGGTGCCATACCCAGTCTGGACTCCCTGGTGTCCTCAGTGCGTGACCAATGAGTAAATCCAGTAGAAAGGAATGAGGCCAGGGAAGGGCATAAGTGGTCTTTAATTCAAGGCAGGGAAGCTCCCAGAGGGTGGCTGGGGCTGAGAGTTAGGAGTGGGTGGAGGAAGGGGGCCTCGGCATCTTCCCTTTAGGTCTCTGAGCTGTGCCTTCTCCACCCTCTCTGGGTCACTCAGTTCTCCTCCATGTGCTTGATATAGTCCTGGACCCACTTGTCCCTGGGGTTGGTGCAGATGGAATGGCCCCTTTTGGTGATGAAGCTGTGGAGCAAGAGGGAGAAGGATCACAAACCAAGGGGTCCAGTGGCCGGAAGAGAGAGCCCATGCTCCCTGCCTCCTAAATTCCCCACCTGACCTAGACTGCTTCTCCTTTCTTTGGTAGAGGCCGCTTAGAGCCTGTCTCCTCTCTGAGACATGCTCTTCGGTCCCTAGGACCCCTAGACCCATCTAGTCTCTGTGTCCCCCCGAGGAAGTGCCCTCTTGCCTTCTTCTCCCTTTTCTGTCACCTCCCCCGATCCATGGGGTCAGCTTCCGATCCATGGGGTCAGCTTCCCCATGGCTCCTGCAGGCTCCAGCCAGAAAGCACCCGGGTTGCCTGTCAGCTGCGTCTTCCCGTGTAGTCACACCTGGGAGGTACACTGGGGATCCTCATTCCACGACCACTCCCTGCCTCCCTTGAGGAGGCCCTGCTGGCTTCCTCTCCTCACAGTGTGATGTGTGTGTGCCACCTACACAATTCCGGGCTTGGAGCACTGGCTGTTGGTCTCATAATAATCCATAATCTGCTGACGCGGGATCTTGTGGGTAGTGTAGGTGAGGCAGCACTCTGATGGCGGTAAGGTGCCCCTGAGGAGACAGCATCGGATGCTGGGGAGGGGCCCTATGTTAAAGGCCATGCCATTGGCTGGTCCTGCAAGCCGAGGGCATGGAGGAGGGAAGGAAGGAGGAGACAGCCCCGCAGAACTTGGAGGGGAGAGTAGGCTTTCTTCATCTCCTCTTCTCCTTCTCCGTAGTACTCCCGAGCTCCTCTTTTCCTCCTCCCTCATCAGCAATCACCCTCCCTCCTTTTCTTCAACCTCTCTTGGAAAGACTAGCGGATGACTTTCAACTCCGGGGTTGAAGAGCAGCGGGGTTGAAGAGCAGCACGCTCAGATCTTCTCACAGCATCTCTGGGGGCCGTCTGGCAGAGAAGGTTAGGGACTTGGCCAATGTCATGCAGTCCTCATGCCTTATTTGGGAAAGATGCTCCAAATAGGAGGAATATTTGGAAGAAATCCCAACAGGGATTTGGGGACATGCCATTTGGGAATGCAGACCCATCCCTCCTAGTGCTCCACCCTGCCCATGTCCCCACTGAACCAACAACCTGCAGAGAGAGCAGGATGCCCACAGCAAGCCCCAAGGACAATGGCCACAGAGTTAGGATACCCAAATCCTAACCTAACCTTGCCTGTGCGTCCTTTGTACTGTGGCCATTTTACTTTCCCCTGTTCCCTCCTCTGTAAATGAGATCCTTGGACTGGATCAGTGGTTTTTACAGAGCTCCCTGGAGCTCTGGGGGCCTCAGGGAATATTGTGGAGGCCCCGCTGCATTTAAGAGTGGTGTCTTATACCCTACTCAACCCATTTTTTTTTTTTTTTTTTTTACATATTGGGCCTCTGTGGAAGATTTTGCTTGAAGAAAAAGTTTTGTGGTCTAAAAAGTTTTAAAAATCACCGGATTAGGTGATTTTTCATCTATTTTCTGATTGAGAAGTTTCATGGCTCTTATAGTAGAAACAAGGAAGTGACAGCAGTCACCCCAAGCTTGAATTATAGAGGTAGCAGGAAAGACATTGCAGGCCAAGAGCCCTGTACAAACAGGCGCATGTTGTGGTTATGGAGTGGAGAAATCAGGTGTGTGCATGTTATGTGACCCTGCTGAATGGAAACTTGAGTGTGCATCGCAATGGCCTCAGAGGTCACTGAGGGTGGCCAGATGCCTGGGTGGAAAGGGCTGGTCCTGTTTTCCAGCTCCACTCCAGGCAGCATCCTCACTATCCAAAGAACGGCATAAGGGGCGCCTGTTTCCTGAGACCCACTCAGAGCTCCTATACTTTCCCACCTTGTTCCTCTGAGCTGAAAAATGACATCGGAGAGGGCAAGTCAAACTGTGCACATACCCACCAACTTTAGCTGTATTTTAACAACCTTCTGTTTCCCCCCAGTTTCTGAAAAGAAGAGTAGGTAAAATGGAAGAGTGATAAATAGTTTTGGTTGTCTCTAAAGGCAGCTTATTCTAAGAAATCAGCTGAGAAAAGGGGGCATAGGAGGGACCCTGCACTGTCGTGTTTCCCCCCAGCCCATACCCAAGCAATGATGCACTCACTGGGCATAGGTGACGCTGGAAGCAGCTGGGCCCAAACCTCAGGAGGCCAATAGAAAAATGCCCTTGAGAGGCTCAAGACACTGCTCCTAATCTCCCTGAGGAAATATCCCCCACATGGGGTGGGCCACTCTTGCTTAGTGGCAAAGACAGAGAAATTGAGGGAGTAGAGAGGCAGGCTGGCCTCATTCCATGTCCTTGAGGGCAAGGGGGGACTGGTCCTGGGGGGCAATGATAAGAGATCAAGGCCACGTGAGGCCTGGAGATTCAGGATCTGTTTATCTGGAGACTAGAGGGCATTTGGGGTAGTGGAATGAGGCCTGGAGTCTCCCAAGTCGGGTCTCATTGGTCAAGGCTGGGAGAGCCTAACTTAAACTCTTAAGCAGAACCTACAGTCCTAGGTCTCATCTCCATCCTGCTTACCACACCATGGGGTGAAGTACTGTGGTACTCAGTAGATAATTCATTTATATAATGGTTGCTATACACACAATTTCAAGAAGATACCAACCCTCCTTTTCGAGTCTCTGCTCCTCGTCTCCCCCTGAGCCCAACCTCACTCCTGCTCCAGTGAGGTTGGACAAGGAAGGAAGGAAGGAAGGAAGGCATTGCAGTCACGAGAGGAGGATTCAGTCTTGGTCCCTAGGGCGATAGTGATGAGCAGGAAGAAGGAAATGGCAACCAAGGAGACCTTCATGCTGTGGGAAGCTGTTGCAGGAGGAGAGCTGGCTTGGTGGGGGCTTCTGAGGCTCCTGCGGTGAGGAATTGTTGAGAAATGATCATTGAGGCCAAATCGTTTTTAAAGTAAGGGAGCTGAGATTTGGAAGGGAAGTAGGAAAGCAGCGATGCCTCAGAGATTTCATATCCTGTACATTTGTTGACAGTGGTGTGAAGGAAGCAGGGAGAGCCCAGGCTTAAGGGAGGAAATGGTCTTCCATCCCCAGTGGGAAGAAGTTCAGGTCTGTTGATATAAGCCTTTCCCTAGGCATGAACATGAGCACAGGGCTGGGGGCACTGTCTCCGACTTAGCAAAAGATCTCAAGGCTGGATGTGTCCTGGATCTAATTGCATCTCAGGCCTTAGAACAGGCCACGTGGAACCTGGAGACTCAGGATCTGTTCATCTAGAGACTAGAGGGCATTTGGGGTAGTGGAATGAGGCCTGGAGTCTCCCAAGTCGGGTCTCATTGGTCAAGGCTGGGAGAGCCTAACTTAAACTCTT